GGGAAGCCGATTATTTTAATGCTGTAAGTAGAGACTTGTATAAACCTCCCTTTGCTCAGCAGAGCAGAAGGATCAGTATTAAAAAAAAACTCTGGAGGGAAATTTTTACCTTGGAAATCATTATTGTGCCACGCTGCCAGGGAGCAGGTTGAGAGCTCTGCTGTCAGGGATGCCTTGGGAACTGGACACCTGGCTCTGGGCTCCTTTGAGAGCCTGCTTCGAAGCTCTCCACTCCAACCAGCGTCCAGGGTTGTTTTGCCACTCAAGCGGAACCAGTGGCAGAGTTGGGCCTGGAACCCCAGAGTCCTGCCCGTGGTCTGACCGCTAGACACACATCCGGACAGGGGTCCTCCCCATCTAGTGGGATGGAGCTCTAGGCCCACCTGGGCTGGTGAGAGGAGACACGGGGGGCAGCTTGTGCTTTCCTGTGTGAAGCCTGAGCCTTGACGCTTCAGAGAGAGTTTGGGGGCTTGTCTGGTTTTTGGGTGTGAATGGGGCCTGGGTGGCAGCCCCCCATGGATCCCCAGCTCAGAGAGAGTCTCTGCTGTTCTCCCAGCACCTCCGAGGCCGGGGTTGGGACCAGGATTGATGCCCGGAGCGGGCAGCCCTTTCCAGGCCACTTAGCCTGAGTGAGAGCTGTGTTTGCAGAGTCGTCCTCCCAGGAGCAATTGATTGAGTCCTTCCCTCCTTCAAGTGTGGTAAATGTGAGCTTGAATGATGGGGGCTCTTCGGCAAAAAGACTCGGCTCCTGCAGGACAGCTCTCTCCTGCCAATATGCAATTACAGAGCCGGGGCGGCTGCTGTGGCCAAACCTCCCCCAGCAGGCTGAGAAACGCTCTCCAGACCCTGGCTGGGGTGACTGCCCCCCCTCCTCAGTGCTACTCATGTTGCCTAGTGAGTGCTGCCCAGAGAGCCCCACGGACCAGGGAGGGGCCTGAGCCCCGTCTGCATCAGATCCAAACGTCCCCATAGGATCCAGGGTTCTGGTTCAGTCCCATCGCTATTGCAGATCTGGGACCCATGGAGACCACAGGCCCTGCCCAGCCATGCTCAGCCTCCTGCAGCAGATCGCTTGGTGTCCCAGTGGAGCGTGGCATGCTGGGAAAGCAAGCGTTGCCTCCATGGGCTGCTCCTGTTGGGGTTAAGGGTCAGGGCGGGTGCCCAAGGTGTGGCCCTGGATGGAGTTTGGGGCCCTGTCTTGACGCTGGGCATGGGAGCCATTTTAGGAGGCCCCCTCTGGATGGGAAGGAAGCGGATCAGAAAGGACCGGAGCCCCGTGGGATCCCACAGGCCCAATCGCCTCTAGCCCCAAGCTGGTTTCCTCTTTGGTTGGCTCGTTACTGAAGGGGGAGGGGGCGTTTTGAGCCCCGGGCTGCACCTGCCGCTCTGTAGATTCCGATGTGCTTAGCACGGTGGCTGCCATGGCGGCTTTGATGTGCCGCCCCTGCTGCTCCCCTCTCCCTGGAAGCCTGCCGCAGGCGGGGTCGTCCGAAACCCGAAATGGATGCTCTTGCTGCAGCTGAGTTGGCCGCCTGCCTCCCCAAGGGCCAGAGAAGCCTGCCCTGGGAAGGGGCCCCTGGGCCGCACCCCTCTCGGGTTCAGGATGCGACGCAAGGGACAGAGAGAGAAACCTGCTGGGGCCTTCCCCTCTCACCGTCCCCAGGGTGGGGCGAACTTCCCAGCACGGGGCACTGAGAAGGGGGTTAGGGGCAGGGCTGGGATTGTCCCACTTGACCTCAGCGACGAGAGCCCGTGTGCGGGGGCAGCCGCGGCAGTCGCCCATGCAGGGTGTTTCCTGCCCCCAGGGGACAGGAGTGTTGGTCGAGGGCTGTGAGAGCTCCCCAGCCCAAGCCCTGCACTCCTGCCGCCCCCAGGGCTGTCGGGGCCGGGGGATCTGGCTGTGGGCGTGGGGGGTGATGGATGCTGCGAACCCAGGGGCCGTCGGGCCTGGGGAATCCACTGTGTGCCTTGCTGGGGACAGCTGGGGGAGAAACAGGAGTGTTAGAAGAAGTGCTCCCCCCTCTGTGCTGCAGTGCTGTGGGGCAGGCAGCGGCTGGCCAGCCGGGTGCACGGGGGCCCCGCTGCCCCATCTCTGGGGCTGGATGCTCAGCCATGGAGCCAGGAGCCTGCAGCTCATCCCTGCTCTTACGTCAGGGCTGCAGGCTGGGCTACCTTAGGTGTAATTAAAGCTGACACTGATGAGCCGCTGCAAGCCGCTCGGCACAGATGTGGTGAAGGAGCCCTGGCCAAAGAGCAGTGCCCTCTGCTCCCCTGCCTCCTCCCCCCAGCGCCAGGGCCAGCCCCTCTGTCTGCACGGCACATGCCTCCCGGGACCAGGGCAACCCCTTCCCCTGCAGCCCCTCTCCAGGCGAGTGCTCAGCCCCCAGAGACACATGCCCTCTGCCCCACACTGCCTGGGCTCTGGGGAGGTCCCCTCTCTCCATCAGCTGCTCTAGCCCTGCCCTGGCTGCATGCTCCGTGCCATCACCTGGCCCTGATACTCCCCCAGCAGTGCCTGCTGTGAGGCAGGATGTCCCAGGTGCCGGGGGCTCCCCCTCCAAGGCAGTGGCAGGGCCAGCAGGTGACAGCAGCTGCTCTGGGTGGGGCATTGAAAGCTATTCAGTGGGGCCTGGGTATTGCCACCTGTCCCAGATTCTGCTTCTCTTGGTGCCCCCCCGTGTGCCCAGCCCAAAGGCTGAGAGAGCCCAAGGCAGCTGGGTTAAGCTGGTGGCCCAAGCACGGCTGGTGGTCTGAGAAGGCATTTGTGGTGGCCACTGAGCTCAGACCTCATCTGCAGAGAGCAGCCGGGACGCAGCAGCTGCGCACCAAAAATAATCTCAGAACTTGGCAAAAGTTCCCAGGGCCCCAAGACCACGTCCTGGCCTGGCCCAGCCTGACATGTGTCCTGGTCCCATTTAATTTAATTGGCAGCTTGCGTTCAGGAGAGGCCACCACTGAAATAGCAGGGGAGCCTGGGGGCACTTTGGGGGCCACTGGCAAAGCTGTGTGGTGGGGAGGGAGCAGGCTACAGCTGGGGTGCATGGGCAGAGCTGGGTGGGGCCCGGGGCTGGGATAGGTGATGGTGGGGGCACTGCAGGTCAGCACTGGGGTTCATGGGCAGAGCTGGGTGGGGCCCGGGGCTGGGATACCAGGGGGCTGCAGGTCAGCACTGGGGTTCATGGGCAGAGCTGGGTGGGGCCCAGGGCTGGGATAACCGGGGGGGGTGGGGGGCCTGCAGGTCAGCACTGGGGTTCATGGGCAGAGCTGGGTGGGGCCCGGGGCTGGGATACCAGGGGGCTGCATGTCAGCACTGGGGTTCATGGGCAGAGCTGAGTTGAGCACCCAGGTGAAGCTGCAGGTCATGGATGAAGCAGCCCTGAGCGTGTCCTAGCACTTCCCTCAGCTGCCTCTGGTTCTAGCTAGTGCCCCCTCATGGGCTCCCTCTGGGCACCCAGTTACGTGTCATTTGATTTTATCAGCCAGTCACACAGGGGAGCTGGGGTGGATGGGTGCTGGGGGGCATCTCTGGTGCCGGTGCATCTTGCCGAGCGGGCGGGGTAGAGTGTCTCAGGAGGCTGCTGGTGGATGGTGAAGGGGCACCACTGGCTGTGGCAATAGATCCTGGTGCAGGGTCCCACTGTGCAGCGTTCTTACTGGTGCCCCTGGGTGCTCAGAGAGGGCGTGAGCTGCGTAACTCTCCTGCGTGCGGTTCTGGTCTCCTCAGCTCCAAAGAGCTATACTGGAATTGTTCAAGGTACAGAGAAGGGCAACAGAAATGCTGAGGGGTCTGGAACAGCTTCCCCGTGAGGAGAGATCCACAGCTAAGGTAGATCCGATCAGTTGGTGTAGAGTTGGGAGTATGTTTTCCATTACTTCACATTGCTCAACACTGAATTTCATCTGCCATGTTGTTGCCCAGTCACCCAGTTTAGTGAGATCCCTTTGTAACTCTCTGCAGTCTGCTTTGGACTTCACTATCTTGAGTAATTTGTATCATCTGCACATTTTGCCACCTCGTTGCTTACCCCCTTTTCCAGATCATTCGGTGTCCTGGTCCCAGGACAGACCCCTGGGGGACACCATTATTTACCTCTCTCCATTCTGAAAACTGACCATTGATTCCTACCCTTTGTTTCCTATCTTTTAACTGGTTACCGATCCATGAGAGGACCTTCCCTCTTATCCTAAGGACTCTCCAGTTCCTTCAGACCCACACTCCTAACTGGCAGCCTTGGATTCTCTTAGCCATTTGACAATCATCTATGCCAGGCCCTACCCCCTGGGGGTACAAGGAGCAGAGCACCACGGGGGGTGAAATGGGATCTAGCTGTTTCTATTGCGGGAGCCCCTAGGAGTGCCCCAGGCCTGGGCCAGAACCCTGTTGTGCAAGGCGCTGTACAGACCCACAATGGAAGGATGGTCCCTGCCCTGTTAAGCTCTGGTTTGGGAGAGCGTCCCATCTGGCATCCTGGTGCCTGCCAGATATACAGCGCCGCATGTCTTCCTCTCCCCCCCCCCCCCCGGCCCCATCAGTGACTGGGTTTCCTGGTCAGGGCTGAGCCGGGGTGTAGCTCTGTTGCCACTAGAGATTTAGGCTCTGCTTTTCAAACTTGGGTGCCTAAAGTTAACCCTCCCATGGGCCCCTGCGGCCAGCGGGACCCCCAGGTTCTAGTGCCTCTGAGAATCAGGTCATTGATTTGGGCGTCCTCCGTGCAGCACCCAAGTCTGAAAATGTCAGCCAGGGCTTTTCTGTGGTGCTGGGAGGAAGGTGGCCGCTGCAGAAGGAACAGACTGGCCCTGGCTATGGACGGGGCTGTGGACTGAGCCCACGACAGACACAGGTGGTGGTGCTGGTAGCTCAGACCTGGGTGCTCCTTGGCACTGCGCCGGGGGGCAGAGTCCCCTTCCCATCTCCCCAGGGCCGCGGTGGGTGGGTGCTGGCTTGCCGGCCAGGGCGCTGTAGTCTCATGCATCCCGCTGCGTCTGTTTGTTGTTTGCAGATGGTGAGAGGCTGGGTGAGGTGACAGATGCTGGCAGGCGTGTGGCCGGGGCCCGGGCAGCGGTTCAGCAGAGAAAGGCCGAGGACTCCAGCGAGAGCCGAGAGGATGAGCAGATGGTAATCACAGGCTGGCCTGTCTTCTCTCTGTTAAATGGGAAATGAGCTCCTAGCGGCTCCAGTTCTGGGCTGGAGGCGCCTAGGGGCTGTAGCCGTGTGCGTGCTGGGGGAGGGGGCCGATGCACCTTGGGATCGCCCTGCATGGGTTCCTGGTGCCCCTGGAGCTGGGCTGGCAAAGGGGTCTCCCCATTGACGCTGCCCGGACACAGAGGGTGCCCTGAGGGAGGCAGGGGTCCTGTGAAGAGAAGGGGGGATAGCCCTGGTGGGAAACCCGTAGTGGGGGGGCATAGGATGGCCCCGGTAGGAAGTAAAAACAGGAGTCCTTAGGGGACTGTGCTGTTGGAAGCCACGTAGGCGCGTGTGTGTTGGTTCGTATGGATCCATCCCCCTGGCGATGTGTGTGGGGATCTCTGACGGGATCCCTGGGTCGGAATGCTCACCGCGCTGTCCGGGGGTCCCGATGAGGAGCCCTCTTGGCAAGCACATGGCAGGAGGTGTGGGGCAGCCCCTGCGTGGCATCGCCCTGTTGGGAAGCACAGAGTAGGGGTAGGGCACCGCTCAGCCTGCCCTGGGAGATAACACGAGGTGGGGAGCAGGGAGGGGGCTGTGGCAGTGGGGTTGGGTCTCCAGGTGGCCTTGCCCATCGGATGGAGCCCGGGGCTGGGGGTGGTTGAACTGGACGTGGCCCTGCTCCCGCTGGAATCTCCGGGGCCAAGAGCCCGGCTGTCGTCTGAGCACAGTGAGCTGCTCCTGACGTTACTGAAGGGGGAGGGGGCGTTTCGAGCCCCGGGCTGCACCTGCCGCTCTGTAGATTCCGATGTGCTTAGCGCGGTGGCTGCCATGGCGGCTTTGATGTGCCGCCCCTGCTGCTCCCCTCTCCCTGGAAGCCTGCCGCAGGCGGGGTCGTCCGAAACCCGAAATGGATGCTCTTGCTGCAGCTGGGTTGGCCGCCTGCCTCCCCAAGGGCCAGAGAAGCCTGCCCTGGGAAGGGGCCCCTGGGCCGCACCCCTCTCGGGTTCAGGATGCGACGCAAGGGACAGAGAGAGAAACCTGCTGGGGCCTTCCCCTCTCACCGTCCCCAGGGGCACTGAGAAGGGGGTTAAGGGCAGAGCTGGGATTGTCCCACTTGACCTCAGCGACGAGAGCCCGTGTGCGGGGGCAGCCGCGGCAGTCGCCCATGCAGGGTGTTTCCTGCCCCCAGGGGACAGGAGTGTCGGTCGAGGGCTGTGAGAGCACCCCAGCCCGAGCCCTGCACTCCTGCCACCCCCAGGGCTGTCAGGGCCGGGGGATCTGGCTGTGGGCCTCTGGGGCTGGAGGGTACCTGGGCGCTGCTGCTGTACCAGCCTTTCCCGGGGCCTGCCCTGCGCCATGCAGCACCCCTCGCCTAGGGCGGCGCAAGGAGCACGTTGGGGCTGGCTTGCTCCTCCAGGACCGTGCCATTGGGGCTCGGGCAGGCTCCGAGCCAGGCTTGGCAGCGTGGGAGCCCGGCGGAAGGAAAGCTCACATTTCACTGCCTGACAGTGATGCTTCATTTCCCCTCATTGCGATAACGGTGACGTTGACCGATCGCTGCCCCTTTCCTGAGGCGTTGGCAGCCACGGCACTGGCATGGCAATCATGTGCCTGCAATTAGCACAGGGTGTGGAAAGACTGGCATGCCACACGCAGAGACCTGGGTTAATGGAGCCCTGTGCTGGCCCCAGCTAACTGCAGACTCTGTACAGGGCAGAGCAATGGACCGTCTACAGCCAAGGCCACTTCCAGGGGGTTTAGATATCAGAGCCAACTCCATCTCCCTCCAGAATGCAGCTAATCTGGACAAATCAGGCCGGGGCCGTTTCTTCCTGGCCAAGCTGCTGCCCTGAAGCATGAGGATTGAGAGCTCTTGAAACGCTGATACTGGTGCAAAAGTCCAGCCTGCTCTTCTGCCCTTTGCACACCCTTGACGTGAGGCTGCCAAAGCATCTGATTAAAGTGGGTCTGTAGCATCCTCTCTGACACACCCAGAGAAGTGGAGACAGTGAGAGATCGGCACGACTTGCCGGTCAACCAGGGAACAGGAGTAGAACCCAGGTGTCCGGACACCCAGTTCCCTGCTGTATCCACTAGACAAAGTAAACCTCTGTCAGATGTTCCTACATGGTTTCCAAGCCATCAGCCTTGCCCTGCTGCAGGGAGTCCCACAGGTTTCTTATCATGGCACAACAGAGATATTTCCTTTTAGCCACATTTCATGTGTCGCCTCCGCTGGATCGCACCCCCTTTGTGTTCTAGGGTTGGGGCAGCAGGAAAGCCTGCTTGGCGTGGTCTATCCCAGCTATTTCCCCTCATCTTTTGCACCCTGACCAGCCCTGCTGTCTCCCTCACCTCCTGCCTGATCCCTCCCCTTCCCTCTGAGGCTCTGCCTGCATCTGTTCCCCTTCTGTGCTGTTCGGAGAGGAAGGACCAGCCCTGACGGCACTGGGCAAGGTGCGGGCATCGCGTGGTCTCAGGCCATGGAAGCAGCTTCGGTGCCCTTCTCTGTCCCATGCTTGCTGGCGGGGGGAGCACCCCTGGGGCACTAATGGCTCTTCTTCCCTGGGGGGATGGAGAGAGGCCAGAGCTGAACACTTAGCTTCTCTGTGGCTTTGGCCCCCGTCTCATCTCAGGGACGTCACTGGAGCACAGGTGGCTGTTAAGCGGGACCCAGCCAGCGGCCCTGGGCGGCTGCTTCTCGCCCCCGTCTGCTTGCCTCCCCCAGTGCAGCCAGGTTCTCTACACGCCACGCTGCAGCCTCTGGCATGGGGATCTGTGTGGTGCTGCCCTTCCCCAGCCCCACGCATTGAACTACAGAGCATAGATTGGGTGCTGTGCATGGGCCCCTTCCTGCCCCAGCTCTCTCTGCTGAGCCGAGGCAGCCAGAGGTGCACTCCCTTGGTGCACGTCCTCCCTGGCTGTGTGAGAACAAGGAGGGTTGGCTGAAAATCAGGTGGCAGGCTCCTGCAGGGGTTACCGAGGGAACTGAAATCGCTCCTGAGCTGGGTGCAGAGACAGGACCCCGGTTTTGGCTGCAAAGGTTGCCAGTGCTGTGGCCCATCAGACAGCGCTAGCCGGGCTCCAGCGCAGAATCGGCACAGTCGTAGGGTGCCCCCGCAGGGTGTTCCCGAGCAGAAACCCTGAGCGTCTCCTGCCCTGTCACCTGACCGTCTCAAACCGCTTTGCAGGCCCTACTGACCTGTGGGAGGCAGGTGGGGATGTGGGGGATGCAGCTCTCCCTGCCAGCCGGGGGAGCGGGGCTGCCTCAAAGCAAAGCCCCATTGCCTGTTCTCCATCATCCCATCAATTCAGTGGTGGTGGCCCCCTGAGCAAGGCCGGGAGGGGCATCTCACAGATTACCGGAGCCCTGGCCCATCTGAACATAACACGCCCCGTCTTCCCGCCAGCACTGTAAGCAAACAGGAGAGTTGACCCGCCAGCAGCTGCCAGCTCAGGGGAGCCAGGCTGTGAATTGCTGCCTCTGTCAGTGCAGGGAGGGGGAAATTTCACTGGTTGGAAAGACAAACAGCCATGGCTGAAATAGCTCCCTGGACCCAAAGCAAACCAATCGGGCTAAAAACACCCAGAGATGGAAAACTGGAGCCCAGAGCGGTTGAAACTCGGCGGTGTGTTAATTACAGAGGCTGCCGTCCACAGGCAGCTCCTTATAGCTAGGGCAAGGCAGTGCCCAGCCCTTCCTCCAGCAGAGCCCCTCGCTCTCCCTAGCCGTGGCACGGCGCCATCGCAGCCCCGCTGTGGCAGGGGACAGAGAAGCTTTTATCTGCTACAGCTCAGCCGCCCCGGAGTGGAGAGAGCCATTTATTTGGGTTTCCCGAGCGTGTGCTGCTAATGAGAGCCAGCTGCACGCTAGGCAGCCATGAGATGGCGAGAAATAGGCTCGTTAGACGTGGGCCGCAGTCGATGCGGCTTCCCCCCTTTGGTGTGTATCAGTCCAGCGCCACGTGGCCGGATCCCACCCATCATCTCCCTCCCTCCCGCAGGGCCCACGCCACGGGGCGGGGGGCACCGAGCTTGTGGCACCGGGGAGCTCTCACCGTCCCCGGGGACCCCAGCGAATCCTCCAGAAGTCGGCACGGAAGTGCCACCGAGTTTTGGAACCAGCACGTGGGAGGGACTTGGACGGCGCTCGTACCAGCTGCCCCCTCCGCCGCCCTGCGCTGACACCTTCAGACCCCCCCGTCCCCATCCCCCCCCCGCAGCAGCACATCTTCCAAAGGCTGCTCCGGATTTCGGGCTAAACTTTCCAAGGGAGCGGAAGGAATTCTTCCTTTCAAACAATCAAAGCCTAATTATGCCGCCTGTCTAATCACGTTTTCAGAGGGCATTGTTCCCCTCCTCTGGGGCTTTAATTAGTTCGTTTAGACAAAGTTTGCTAATTACTTCCGTAGTGCCACGCATCCTAATGGGCTCCTCTTTGTTTACAGCATTTATCTGTCTCCGCTCCGGCGTGTGATGCACTTGTTACCTTCCCAGCTGGCCACAGCAGTGGCCCTCCCTGGAGTCTCCAGGGGCTGCCCTCTTGCTTGGTCCCTTCAGCCTCTGCGGCCCGATGTGCTCAGGGAACCTTTGCTCACTGTCCCCCAGCAGCAGGGGTCTCTGGAGAAGCCGGGGCTGGAGAGGAAGGCTGGCCTTGGGAGGTCTGGGTTCGACTCCCACCTCTGCCACAGACTCCCTGAGTGTCCCTGTGCCTCGGTTCCCCATCTGTAAAACGGGGATGGTTTGTAGTGTCTGTCTGGCCCTTACTGTGCTGTGTACGGGGCCTGGTGTGATGGGGCTCCCAGGGCAGCCTGGGCTCTTGGCTTGCCTACAAATAATGAATAGCTCAGCATTGTCAATTCCAGTAGCACATGGAGGCCCCGATCAAGATCAGGGTCCGGCTGTGCCAGGCACTGCATAGACACAGATTAAAAGACTAGGACCCCCCCACACACTACTTCCTTTTCCTCCCCTCTCTCCATCTTTTC